ACCACCCCCACCCCCCGCCCCCACCAGGAGCTGGAAGAAGAGGGAGCCAGTCTTGGCTCTTCCTGAGGACCCCATCCACAAAGGCCCCTGCAGGGCATGTTTCCAGGCAACGGGGCCTCCCCACATCAGTAGTCTTCCCAGTGCTCAGGCCCCTACCCTGCCCGTCAGCCTTACCGATCCCACTTTGCTCAGCAGCTGTTCCTCAGCCTTGCTAAACAAGGCCTTGCTCTGGATGGCCGCAATGGCTTCCGGGTGCAGCTGTCTCATGGCTTGGCAGGCCAGCCTGGGGGGTGTGGGGGGGGACGGGGTTGTGAGAAAGAGGGCAGGGTTGAAGGGAGGGTGTCTAGCAATCTGGGGTTCCTGCAGGCCTTTGAGATCCAGAACTAGAGACCAGGCCCTCAACAGGAAGAGCCCAAGGCTTAGCACAACGCCTGTGGCCTCATGGGTTTGTTGAAAGCATAACACACACAGGTAACTCAGCCAACTGAGTTTCCAGTGTTTACTCCCTTGCAGAGACTCAAAGGCACAGCCCGCAGAGGCCAGTTGAGGGAGACCCTGAGACCAGCTCCTGCTCCCTCCCCAAGACCTTCCTCTTTACTTGGCCAAAGCTACCACCCACTGTCCACCACATCCTCTTTCCAAAACTGAGCCCCGCCCACTTCCTGGCTGTCAGGACCGAGGCTACAGATTAAGTGGTGCTAGGGACTGCGGAGCAGAAGACGGGTGCTAAGCATCCGACCAACTCTGACGACGATAAATGAAGTGGCTGAGCAGGAAGAGTGCGCACCGCATGGGCGCACAGGTTTACTTGGAACTTGGACTTTTAGGGGCCCTCGTATTCTTTTGTTACAATTCCCTCTTATGGAGAAAGAAATTATGGGAGGTCAGTGTGGAAAGGTTGGAAAGTGACCTGCCCCCAACCACAACGCACACAGTGGTGGAACCAGGGCTCCTGGCACTCATTCAGGTGTTTTTTCCCACGCTACTTCTTCAGCTTCCAGATCCCCTCGCCGCTAGCATCAGGCCAGGACCAGCAGGGTTGGCAGCAGGAAGAAGCTTCCCTCCCAAGCCTGGCTGGTTTCAGCATCATCCCAGAGGGTGCAAAGTCCCATGAGTCCTGCCTCCCAGGCCCCTCCCTTGGGCTTTTGTATAATTCTGTCTGTTCTAGGAGCCAAATTCTGGTGCTCCCAGTACCTCCCTGCTGCGGGAGCCAACCCCACTCACTTGGAGATGACAGGATCGTAGAGCAGGGCGTACCAGCGCTCCTGGACCTCCCGAAGGGTGAAGCGGCAGCTGAACTTCACGCCCAGGTGGACCGACGTCAGGTCGTTGGTCTGCAAGGCCCCCGATGGGTTGGCCCCAGCCTGAGAGCTGGGAAGAACCCTTCGCTTGCTACCCCCAGGGTGCTGCTGGGCTAGTCCGGGGGCTGGGGACCACAGGCTGGGGAAGGAGGGGAGCGTGCAAGCCGCGCTGGGACGCATTACCTGCAGCACGGCGTGGATGAGCAGGAGGTCATCCGCCGGCTTCCAGCGGCCCAAATCCTTGGTCACCTGAAGCGGCTGTTTGCTCTTCTTCACACGCTTCGTAAGTCCGGGCGTTGGCGCTGGGCTGGGCGGCACAGGAGTGCTAGGGGCCTTGGACACCTGGGCAGAGAACAGGAAGAGAATGAGCTCAAAGCCAGCATTGGGGCAGCTTGGGCTTCAGGCCCTGAGCTTCCCATACTGCGTGTGGCAGCCCAGCCTCCTAGTCCCCCCACCCCCGAAGTACTTCTACATGGTCCTTGACCTTATGGGGTCTTCTCTTTGCTGGTGACACCCTCAACGCCAGAGTGGAGGGTGGGTGGGGAGGATACCAGGAATCCACTCTGACTGGTATGGTGTCTAGGGCCAGAGCAATGCCACCTGGGGGTTATTTTTACACCCAGCAATGCTGGGAACAGGCTGTCTGCTCCCAGAATAGATGCACGCTCTATGCCTCCCACACAGAATGTGATACAGGACACACTGACAGGGTGTGTGTGTGTGGGGGGGTGCGGCAAGAAAGGGGGAGTAGGGAGAAGAGATGGGCTCCCAGAAGGGAGGCAGCTGAGGATGGGGCTGGGGCCACCGGATTTCCTCACAAGTCTCCTCTGGAGTGCTCTTGCCAGCTGGCAAAGGTGGTGGGGAAATACAAAATCTGGCCCCCGCCCCCACATCTTGCAATCTCTCACCTTCTTCTTCTCACTGGAGGAAGGTTCACTCCCTGAACAGCGCCCTGGTTCCACCCCACTGGCCCCCTTCGCCCGGGTAGAGGACTTAGCCAGGCTGCTCTCCACCAGCTCATCGTCAAACTTCTTCCTCTTGATGAACCTGTGGAGAGTCCGACCCATTGAGCATCCCTTGCCCGTCCTCCTCATACCCACGCGCACACACCCAGCCTCTGAGACAGTGCGGGGTCCCGGCTGGCTGCTAACTGCCCCAGCACAGGGGACAGGGCACAGAACTGCTGCACTCCTCCCCTCTGAGATGACAGGGTACCGCGCCACAGATTTCATGTCAGAGACCAGGGATCTTCCTCCCGTGCTCAGCAGGAAAAGCCCAAAGCTCTGCCATCACTTAGGCCCCACAGGGGCTCAAGTAGCCATTCCCAACAGTGGCTAAGGCATGCAGCACCTAACGTCCTTGCCCAGGCCCTGACCCTCTGAACCCTTCCTACCTGGAGGAGCTTCTCCGTTTAGGGATGGTGCCCAAGGCCTGAGAGGAAGCCCGCTTCTGCCCTGCCAGCGACTCCTCATCCTCTGAACGGCTGGCAGTGCCTGATGCCATCAGAGATGAATCTAGCAGCCCCTGAGAATCTAGAAAAAAAGAAGTGGTGAACTCAGGTCTCCTAAGTGCCCAGCAGAGCCTTGAGCCTCTGAACATGGGACCCCTCCTCTGCCCCTCCCCCCCCCCCAGCCCTCCTGGCCCTTCCCCTGCTTCCTTGACATTTGAGGTTTTATGGTGGGAGTTCCTTGGCCATCCAGATCCCATCTGGGCTCAGACCTGGCCCAGACCTTCCACGCTGGGCAGTTCTCCCGGTGCCACGTGTCATGTCGTGCAGCACATGGTGCTCAGGTCAGACTGGTGATGCCGACACACCAGAGGCTCTGGGCATAACTGCTCCCTCTGCCATCAAAATGCAGCCATGCCAAAGAGCGCCAGCTCAACAGCAAGTCAGTCAACTGCGGCCTCTGCCGAGAGGTACGTGGGTGGTGCTGGCCCAGGGGGAGGTGGCAATGCCCAGCCAGGACGAAAAGACATACGTGCCAGGCACGGGGTGGAATCAGCAGATGCTTGGCGCCTGAGCGTTTGGGGAGCTGGCCCGGCCTCATACTACCTTTGTCCATCCTCTTACAGTCCCAAAGCCACTGGTTCCAAACCACAGGGCTAGGAGGAAGGGTCCCACAGGCTCATCCAAGGATTCTGACCAGGTGAGCTTAGAGGCTGAGAGGAGATTCTGCAAAGGAGAAGTGAGGCTCCCTGAGGCACAGGTTTCCAACGGGCCAGCCTCACCTCCTTATACTGGAGCAGCTCCCCCAGGATCCCATAAGCTAGGGAAGACACAAGAAGAGACACGAGGCTCTATTCTGCCAATATGACACTGATAAACCAACAGCTTTCTAAAGGTCACCAGCATCTTTGAGAATATAAAAGCTATGCACTCCACAAAAATGTACAAACACATAGCATTTTAGGGGGTCCACGGACCTCTATGATTCTACTCAGAGTCGCGAAGTGAAGGGCCTCAACTATAAACCAGCACGAAACAAGGGACTACTGGTTCACTTCTTATCGCCCGTCGCTGCCCACTCAGTTCAGTAGCACTCCCCTTGCCCTCCCAAGCCAAAGCAGGGAAACGGAGATAGAACTCCGATTAGTCCATCTCTCGCTCTCTTTTTTCCATTTGCAGCTTTGGCTGAAGATTTAGTGGGTGGTTCCGCGTGGAAGCTAAAAAATGCGGTTTGGGAACTGAGCAAGTATCAACGGCCCTGGGGCGCCTGCTCCTAACCCCGGGAGAACTCAGGTACTGGGGACTCTTTGGGGCGTGCCGCTTGCGGGCCCCGCCCCTTCAGACCAGGGCGGCTCTCAGCACAGCTTTCCCGCCCTGCCCCCAGGTGCGCTGGTCGCGCCGCTCCGCTCTGTAGGATACGGCTGGATATCTTGACACCTGGGGAGCAGGTGAAGGGCCTGATTCCGCGGGCTGGCGGAGGCTAAGTCTGCACCCCCTGCCTTCCCCCACCCCCGTTCTCCCCCGAGTGCACACCCAAGGTAGGGGATTAGTGCAGGTCTGTTCCGGGAGCTCGGGATGAGAGTGGTGAAGTCAGCCCTGCAACTCAAAAGCAAAGCACCGAGTGCACCCCGATGCTTTCGCAGCCCTGGTTTAAGCCCCACGGGCTGGTGGCGAGGGAGGGGGAGTAACTCCCAGGCCAAGTCTCACCCCACCTTCGGCTTGCCACCTTTGCGCATGCGTAACATCTCGGACCACATTCTGGTCCTGTCCGGCTCACGCATGCGCAGATTTTCAGGGCGCTACCGGGGCGGGGCCCCAAACACTGTGGGGGGTCTTCCCCCGCGGCACTCTGGAAAACTCCATTTCGCCCCAAACTCTGCTCAGAACCCTCGGAAGCGAACCGCGAGGTCTCACCATTCCTAGGCTGCCAGCTCCAACAATTTCTCCGCGGCGACAGCAGCAGCCGCAGGGCCAAACCCGGCTTCCGTGAGGCACATCCACTTCCGGGTCTGCGAACTAGGGGCTGCCCGATCCCTTCCGGTTCGCCCCGGGAACGTGACGAAGGGGGCGTGGTCACCGCAGGGACCGGATCACCGTTTTGCTAACAACCGAAATTAAAGTTTTCCCACTTGGGACAGCATAGGGGGAAACATCAGGGATTATAGGCCCCAGAAAGATTACTCGCTTGGAGAGAGTGATTAAAGGGAAAGACGAGGCTTGGGGCGGGATAGGCTGAGGGGCGGGTCTGGGGTAGGGCTGGGCGGGACACCGGGCTTCTGAATTCCCACGGGATATAGGAATCTTTGATAGTTCAGGAGCGATTGTGCGTTGATTCCCCCAGCGATTTTAGAGAAATTACTCCGTGTTGGGCTCTGTGCTAGGCACAGCACGGGGAGATGATGTGGAGCTCGCTCCAGCCGAGAGATTTTGGCGTACCGAAGGCGGGCAGGTTGATGTCTAAGGAACGGATGGAAGGTCGTGGGCCTGAGGAAGGCCAGTGTCAGCCAGATCCCACCAGGACTGCTAGAGGCTGTTGTGGACCCCGGTAGGTGAGAAAGAAGTGCAGAGAATGCCCTGGAGGGAAGCTTGGGATGGGAGAACAAGCCTACCGGAAAAGTTTGGGGATGAGAAACCAAACAGACCTCTAAAAGAGGGTTTCTGTTTGTTTTAGGTTTCCTTGGAAGGGCACAAAAGTGTAGTAGCTCCAGAGAATCATCGCAGCTCGGAATGAGGAAAATCCCAATTCCGAAGCTGTCCAGCAGTTAGGGCGGTCCTTTCAATGGAGGTGTCAACCACATGTCCCCTGGACATTGCCAGTGGATGCAAGTGTCAGAGGGGAGGCTAGCCCTTCTGGCCCTGACTGTGTATGATAGCCTTCTGCTTCAAAAGTCCCCACCTTGGGCGCCTGGGTGGCTCAGTTGGTTAAGCGACTGCCTTCGGCTCAGGTCGTGATCCTGGAGTCCCGGGATCGAGTCCCACATCGGGCTCCCTGCTCGGCAGGGAGTCTGCTTCTCCCTCTGACCCCCCTCCCTCTCATGCTCTGTCTCTCATTCTCTCTGTCTCAAATAAATAAATAAAATCTTTAAAAAATAAAAAATAAAGTCCCCACCTCATTTACTGGCCTGTGATCTTACTTAATAACCTATTTTGACTCCCTTAATAACCTACTTTGACTGAGTTTTCTGATAAGAGGTGTGTGGACTAGACGAGATATCAAGATATCGTATGGTATCTTTACTAGATGAGAGTTATCAGGGAGGTTTCTAAGGAGAGTACAGTTGAGCTGAGATTTGACAGTTGATAGGAGGTCAGTCAAGCAAAAAGCTTGGGTACCATGACCTAGTAAGAGGGGACAGCATAGCTGCAAAGCAGAAATAAATTTGGTGAGTTTGAGACACAGGAAGGAGCCCAGTATGGCTGGAGAAGGATGATCAAGAAAAAGAGGGATGGAGATGAGAACTCAGAGGTCATCAGGGGCAGTTAACATTAGCTGTTGTAGTTCATGCTATGGATTTGGGCCTTTTTCCTAATGTTTTGGGAAGCTTTTAAAGGATTACAAGTGAAGGCATCCTTGCTGTGATATTTAATTTTTAGGATGATTCCTCTGGCTTTGGAGAAGGATTGTAAAAGAGGAAGCAGAGAGATCAGATAAGAGGCTATCTTGGAGGAATCCAGGTGAGAGGTAAGTCCAGGTTGTTAGCTGGGTTGCAGGGGCAGTGGAGATGGACAGAAACAGTGACTTTGAAGTACTTTTCGGAGCTAGAACCACAAGGACTTGCTGATGGATTAGATATGGGATATGAGAGAAGGGGAAGAATCAAGGATAACCTAGGTCTTTGGCCTGAGAAGCTGGGTGGATGCTGGAGCCCCCTTTAGAATATATCCAGAATCTCGCCCTATCTCATTGGCTTGTCCACTCTCTCCTGACCCAAGTCCCCTTGATGCCGGCTGGCTGGGCCTGAAGACCCAGAGGAGATCCCACAGGACCAGCCATGAGGATCCTTGGCGTTGCGCAGGATAGAAATCAAACAAAGCTGAGAGGAAGTGAGAGCTGTTTATTAAAGATAAGAGTGTGGATATAGACATAGCATCCAGGAGACTCAGAAAGCAAAGAGTGAATTTACTTACTTGGGACCTGAGGTTTTTATTTGAGATGGTGGTCTGGTATTTCCGCATCCAGGAACAAAGGCAAGTGTTTAGGAGTCTTCCATAAGGTACTTATGCCCTGGAGCTAAGGGTCTTGATGAGTCAGTGGTCTTGGAAAGTGTTCATGACATCCCGCCCAGTCACACCATAGATGTTATCTATTGTGAAATCATTAAATTCTTGACCTTTACACGGAGTGTGGTGTCTCTCCAATCAGAGCTCCCCCCCGCCGCCCCCATGAGGGGTGACCGATCAGGTGGAAGCCAGAGGGGTGGCACAGGCAGAGAAAGGGATTCACCCAAGATAGAACAGAAGAGATAAAAGTTCATTGAATACACTGCAAGCAAGTGGGGGGGGGGCGGTGGGCAGGATAGCAAAGGAGAGACTTTCTACAATGAGGCAGTGGGAGGGGGCTATATTTAAAGGGGGAAGATGAGATTTGGGGTTGTATGGAATTTCCCCTTTTTTGACAACTTGCCTGGTTGTAAGTAGCCCATTGATTAGTTAGGGCCTGTGAATATTTTAAGGTGGATCACCTGATGGGCCTGTCTGTATTTGGCCAGGGGGTTGCTGTGGGCCCTTTTTACATTCCGTTGCTCAAGCCTGTTCCCTAAAAGTGGCCTCTACTAGGAGGACATACATTATCTGTTCTATATGTATAAAGCAGGGGTGCAGGTCCTAGCAAGAACAGAAGCAGGAAATGGGGCAAAAAAAAGCAGTTTTTCACGGGGTCCCTTTAGTTTCCCTGTCTCACCCTGGATCTCTCACCTGGACCATTGCAGGAGCTGCCTACCTGGTCTCCCTAGGTTCACCCTCCCTGCCCCTCCCCCAATTTCTAGCTGCTAGGGTATTCCTATTAAAATGGAAATCCCCTCATGTCAAGCCTCTGTTCAAAATCCTCCGCCGTCTTTGGGTAAAACTCCTCCTCTAGCCTTGTTATTCTGACCTCATCTCCTGCTCTTCTCGCTTGCCCTTTTTAAAATTTCAGTCCCCATCCGTTGCACTCTCTGCCCCTTCCCTGCTTTGTTTTTCTTCTTGATGTGGGAAACAAGGCAAAAGAAAAAAATTACATTTCCTTGCTACTTAACAGCTCATTGACAACTCCTTGAAATAGGCAGAGTGATCTTCCTCTAGGAACCCCGCTGCCTCAATGTTAATACTTTGCTGAGGGCAAAAGGCGATTTTAGCTTAACATTATCCTGACCCTGCAGGCTCCTGTGATTCTACTTTAAACATAGAGAAATTCCTTTGGAACTTCCTTTATCTCTACCCCCCAAGATATATGTTAGCAATCATTCTCCAAGCATATGGCCCACTGATACGCATCTGAAGGGTGTCACGACTGAGGGTTTACTAAACAATAGTAAATGACCACTAAAGGTCCTGGAAACCTTGTTTCCAAAATTCTTAGAGACTTAACGCTGTCCCTAGCCCCCTCCCAACTTAAAAGTATATAATTAGTCACCGGTCACAACCCCAGTGCAGTTCTTTCTGCCTATGGGTCCTGTTCCCGCCCTTTAATAAAACCACCTTTTTGCACCAAAGACGTCTCGAATTCTTTCTTGACCATTTGCTCTGAACCCCAACATTTCACATCATGCTTAGCCCTTATCTTCTAATGCGTGGTGTAATTTGTTTTTTCCAATTTATTGTAGGTCTCCCAAGAGTAGAATGTAAACTCTATTAGGGCAGAGGTTTTTGTTTTATCCACTGTTAGAGTAGGTGCTTAACAAATATTTGTTGACTGTGTTAAAGAAACTCACAGTAAAGGAGAAGTCATGGGAGGAGCAGGTTCCTGTAGGGGTAGACAGGAAGAGTTCTGTTTAGACATGTGAAATTTGAGCTGCCTGGGAGGTATTTTGGTGGAAGTGTTGAGTGGATAGGTGGACACACCAGTCCAGTGGGGGAAGAGGCCTAGCCTGGAGGGACACAGGAGGGAATCATTATTGTGAAGATCTAGATGCTGTGCCTAGGGAAGAGCATAGACAGAGAATGAGGCAGGTCCAAGGCCAGTGCCTGGGGCACTCCAATGTTTAAGGTTAGGTTTGAGGAGGAGCCAGCAAAGGAACACAAAGAAGAGTGTGGATAAAAAGAAAAGCTAACAATAGCACCAATCATCCAGCCCCGTTAACCGTCCCTGGCTCTGGAGTAGTTTTTCACAGTTCAGCCTCTTTCCCTGCTTTACAATGGAGACCACACTCCTGATTTTCCCTGGATCTTTGTTCAGCTGCTCGGGGCCCCAGGCTGCTGCTCCTGGGGATTAGAATATGGTGGCTAAGAACACAGGCTCTGGAGTCAAACTGCCTGATTTTAAACTTCAGCTCGGGGTGCCTGGGTGGCTCAGTCTTTAAGCGTCTGCCTTGGGCTCAGTTCATGATCCCAGGGTCCTGGGATGGAGCCCCGCATTGGGCTCCCTGCTCGGCGAGAAGCCTACTTCTCCCCCTCCCACTCCCCCTGCTTGTGTTCCCTCTCTTGCTGTCTCTCTCTCTCTGTGTCAAATAAATAAATAAAATCTTAAAAACAAAACAAAACTTCAGCTCTATCACCTACCAGCTTGTGACCTTGAGCAAGTTACATTGCTTTGCCTCAGTTTCATCATCTGTGGGGAAATAATAGTCCCCACTTCATAGGAGGGTTCTGAGGAGTAAATTACTATTTAAACAAGCAGATAGCATATAGCAAGTGTTTGAAAATGTTAGCAGTTTCTACTGTTCTTAGGGCTTGGGTCTTAGTGTCACCTGCCAGGTCGTCAGTGTAGGACCCAAACTGTGATAGCACAGCCCGTCCCCATTCTGTCCACTAGAGAAGGTCCAGTTTCCCTCTCCTCTAAAGCTGATACCTTCTGGGCACTCAGAGGACACAGGATCTATCTGCTATTGGCTCAACTATAACGTCTTAAGAAGTCAAGTTTAATAAAGCTGTTGACCAGCAAAAAGTTACCTTTGGATTCACAATGCATTTGAAGTCAGCATATACTTGATATCTGCACATGTTTTTTTCTCCAAGGGAAGAGAAACCATCTGCCAAGGAGGAACCTTACACACAGACTGGAGGCTTCTGAAACAGCAGTCTCCAGGGCAGAGAACCACAGACACGCTGTGAAACGCCCAACTTCATGACCAGGACAAGGTGTACGCATCGCAGTCTAAAAGCCAGAGTCACGCATAATGAGAAAACCTAAATTATTCCCATTAAAGTTAGATATGCCACAGGGATGGCCCCTGTGACAATTTTTATTTAATATTGCTTTGGACGTACCAGCCTACTTAACTACAGAAGAGAAAGAAACGAGGTCAAAAAACTGGAAAAGAGGTCAAATTATCATTATTTATTTATGAAATGATAACCTACCTGGAAAATCCAAAGACAGCAACTGCAAAACTGATACAAATAAGACATTTTAGCAAAGTAGGTACAAGTTAATATACAAAAAGCCAGTGAACAACACCCAATTAGAAAATATAGGGGAATAAAATATATCCTTTACAATAGCAACAACAAAGTGAACTAACCAAGAGTAATCTTAATGTGCTAGATCTAGGTGCCCCAAAACTAAAATGCTAGCAAAGAACACAAAAGGAGGCTTGAATAAATGGAAAGGCATATTCTATTTTGGGGTAGAAAGACTCACTACCATAAAGATGTCAGCTCTCCATAAATTAATCTATAAATTTAACACAATCTAATAAAAATACCAACAGACTACATAATCTGAATATAAAGTTCATATGGAAATCTCTGCATCATGAATAGCCATGAACATTCTGAAAAAGGTTAGTGAGAGAAATAGTTCTACCTGATATAAAATCATTAAAAGCTACAATAATTAAAATAGTAAAATCCAGGGGATACTAACACATAAATAGGCAATTTGATCCAGAGAAGCAAATAGAGAATCCAGAAATAGACTCAAGACATTTAAAATGTTAGTGTATGGTAAAGATGGCATTGTCTATCAGCAGGGGAAAATGGATTATCCAATAAGTGGTATCAAAACAATTGTGTAACTGCCTGAAAAAAAAAAATAATGTATCTCTGCCTTGGTTTTTACACTAAAATAAATCCGTACGAATCAATTGTGTTTAAATAAATGTAAAAGGATACAGCCATAGATGTATAATGTCATAGTGGGGAAAGCATTTGTCAGAATAGCATAAAATTTCCCAAAGCATAAAAAAAAAGACAAATTCTGTCAACATGAAAATCTATAATTTCTGCAGAGTAAAAAACCACCATAAATAAAGACAAATGGTACACAGGGGGAAGTATCTGCAACTCGTATCATAGACAAAGGGACTAATTTGCTTAATATATACAAAATCCCCTCAAATCAATATGAAAAAGAACAAAAATCCAATAAGAAAATGGGAGGTTAACATAAAAGGAAAGATAAATGGCTCTTAGACATATGGAAAAATAGTCAACCTCACAAGAAAATTGAAACTACATTTAGATATCATTTTCAAGCTACAGATTGGCAAAAAATCCAAACATCTGATAATATACCCCTGGCATTGTTGTGGGGAAATAGGCCCTCTTATGTGTTACTGGCAGAACTGTAAATTGTTGATACTTGTCAAAATTAAAAATGCATATAATTTCTGATCCCATATACTTGCACACATACAAGATGAAGTATGTACAGAGTTATCAACTATAGCATTGTTTAAGAGTAGCGAAAGTTTACAAACAACTCAAACATCTATCACTAGAAGACTAGTTAAATAAGTTATGGCGTTGGGGTGCCTGGGTGGCTTAGTCAGTTAAGCATCTGCTTTGGCTCAGGTCATGGTCCCAGGGTCCTGGGATCAAGCCCCACCTTGGGCTCTCTACTTGTCGGGGAGCCTGCTTCTCCGTCTCCCTCTGCCTACCACTGCCTACTTGTGCTCTCTCACTCTGTCAAATAAATAAATAAAATCCTTAACAGTAACAACAACAAAGTTATGGCCCATCCATACAATATCATACAGCCAGGCTGAGGAGCTGTCACAAAAATCTTTGCAGGCCATGATTAAACCCATGAAGAGCCATTAAAGAGTTTGTATGCAGGGGTATGGTATAAGATCTGGATTTGAGAAAGATCTCTGGCCTAGTACGGAACACAGATTGCAAGAGTAATACTATAGACAGGGAGGTCAGCCAGTGGCCTCAACTAGGGTGGTCACCAAAGACAAGACATAGAAAATGTAGACTGGATAGGGCTTGGGGATAGACTGGGTGTAGAGGCGCAAGAGATGAGGCACTGATGATACCCCAGTCTCCAGCTTTGGGGGTAGATAGAGAGTAGTGGTTATACACTGAGATAGGGAGAGCAAGTGGAGAAGTTGGTTTGATTGGGAAGGAAAGATGAGTTTTATTTGGATGACTTGAGGTAGAGGTTTTAGTGGGCAACCAGCTGACACATTCAGTCGGGTGTTTGGATATACAGCTCTAGGACTCAGGAGAGAGACTGGAATTACGGATAAGTTTGGGAGTCGTGATCATATAGTTGATGTTCAAGGCCATAGGAGAGGATAAAGTCATTTGGGGACATCCTGTGGCATGAGGAAAGGAGAGAGTCCAGGTACTGGAGCAACCCACAGAGTATGCTGGCAGAAGACAATGAGTTTCTAGAGGAGCCACAGGAGTATAGGGAACATAGGAGGGAAACCAAATATCACAGGACAGAAGTCAAGGGAAGAATGTAGAAGCATTTTCGTGGTCTGTGTCTCTTACTTGATTATAATATCCTTGACATAAACTGGGTTTTATTTTTCTTTGTTCCCTCCCTGTCTGTTCCATCCCTATCTTCAATCAGTACAAGGTCTGTGAACAGTTAAGGGCATGAATGAGTAAATCCAATCAAAGCTGGTTTTCATACTGCTTGGGTTGAAACCTTCGTTGTTGCTCCCCTAGTTGGGTTTCCCTGCATCCACTGTGTAATGTCTCCACATTGCCACAGCTGCCTCTCGAAAGCAAGATCTGCAACTACCACTCCTTGCCTTGAAAATCATCAGCTTGGCCTTCAAGCCCATCCAGACTGAATCCCAGTTTAGCTTAGCTCCTACAACATCTGGCTTCTACCCAACGAACCACAGCCACAGGGACTACTTTCCGGCCCGTAACATGGTCTAAGTAAGCTTACAGTGTTCTGTTCCCTTGGATTCCCCCCGATTCCCCCACTCCTGCCACCCGTGGCAGACCTTTACTTTCCAGACCTTTACTGCAAGAGCATCTCCTTCCCCTGTTGTCCATTTTACTTTGCACCTGTATTACTGTATCACTTGCCCTGAACTGTGTTTGTTGTATGTGCCAGCTCCCCACTATTTGCTACTCTGTCTCCACACTGGAGTGTGAAGAGGGATTGTGTCTCAAGGTCATCATTACCCATCCAGCACTCAGGGCAGTACACTCAGTACTTGCTGAATGAGTGATAGATGGATGAGTGGATGGTAAGTCCTTGGTGCAGTACAAGGACCTGATTCTATTTGAGCATGCCAGTGCTTTGCATATGGTCTGTATCCTGTGTTTGCAGTAAGATCCTTGGAAATTTGTTTTATTCACTTTTATACCCTCACTGCCTAGTGTAGAGCACAGCCCCACAGTAGGTGCTCGATAAGTGTTTGAGGACTCAATAAATAATTACTCATTTAATTTGCTCTCAGAAGCCTCCAGAGAGGCCAATGGCTTTGGCAAACAATGTTTCGTATGTGCTTACTGCCAGTTCTGAGAGCCTGCCTTTGCAGGACAGTGACAAGTGTGTCTTGTAAACATGGCGCTACTGAGGGACTGTAAAGTGTGGCCGACACACCAAATTAGGGCTGTTACATTGGTAAAGCGTTTCACATGAATATGTGGCTCTCTGGGCAGAAACACAGCCCAGAAGAAAGAGGAGGCAGCTCAAATAAGGAGGGATGGGATCACTTATTCTTTAGGGAGAGTCTGACTTGGTTTCTGTGTGCATAGCCCTCTGTGCTGGGAGAAGCTGTGAAAGCAACTGGGCATCTGCTTTTCCAGAGTGTAAGGTCTGGTGGGGCTGAGGACAGGCCAGTCACTAATCCCAGAACAAAGGCAAGGTTGACCAAAGCTGGGTGATGCCTGAATAAAGGGGGTCTTAGGGAGGATTAGGAGGGGCTTCCTGGGGGGAGGGCATTTGAGCTCCCTTACTAAGCTTTCCTGAATGGGATGGGAATTTTTTTTTTTTTTTTTAAGATTTTATTTATTTGGGGCACCTGGGTGGCTCAGTCGTTAAGCGTCTGCCTTCGGCTCAGGTCATGATCCCAGGGTCCTGGGAATCCAGCCCCGCATCGGGCTCCCTGCTCAGCGGAAAGCCTGCTTCTCCCTCTCCCACTCCCCCTGCTTGTGTTCCCTCTCTCACTGTGTCTCTCTCTGTCAAATAAATAAATAAAATCTTAAAAAAAAAAAAAGTCTTTCATTCACGTTAGTTTCAGGCGTACCAGAGCCATGCTCTTGAAGTGTCGCTCAGATCATGTCATTCATTTGCTCAAAATTCTGCAGTGGTCCCCATTTCATTCAAAATAAACATGGCTCCTGTTCGTTCAGAGTGAAAAAGAAGTCCTTACCGTGGCCTGCAAGGCGCCGATCACTGCAGGCCAGTCATCTCTTCCTTATCATTCCTTCTCTTCTCCCACTCACTCACCTGGCACCAGCCACACTGGATACATGCTGGAACTTGAGTTTGGTGGACATGTTCCCACCTCGGCTGTTCCCTTGCCTGGCATGCTCTTCTTACCCCATGGTTCGCATCTCACCTCTGCAAGACTACTCAAATGTCACCTCAGTGAGCCCTGATGGGACCTATTTTAAATGGTAACCCCTTTATTCTGGTACCTTACCCTCTTGAAATGTGTTTCTCCATGGCATCTTTTACCATCTAATATAAGGTGTATTCTATTAATTTTTAATTTCTTGTCTGTCCACCCCAAAGGACTGTAAACTCCATGAAAGCACTTAAAAAATTTTTGTTCTTCAGAACTGTATCCCTCATGCCTAGAACAGTGTCCAGTATTAAGTGGCCAATAGATATTTGTTGAATGAATGCGCACGTGATGCAGGTTTGAGGAAGTCTACGGGAAGGGCCTCCTGGCAGAGTTCCTAACAGACAGTTGCCTGAACAATCATTTGCAAGGAAAGCTCTCTGAACTGCAGAGCTGAGGACCCTGCAGGGGTGCTCAAGGGAGGAGGTAGTGGTCCCTACTGAGGGAGAGGATTCCGGCTACCAGGAATTATCTGCAGGATCCAGATGTGCAAGGTGGGTCAGGAATCTCTTGTCTCTTTCCCCTACCTTTGCCATACTTGCTCTCCACACTCAGCCGAGCACCTTCTCAGGGGAAGCCCACCGGCTTCACTTTTGGCAGTTGCCATTATTTTAAATCCAGCCCTCTGACTCCAGGCCAGCTGAGGCCCTGAAGCAAGCTCTTTGCCGCCTCCCTGTGGCTCCTGTCGTAAAGGAACTCTCTTCTGGAAAGAGGCCACAGAAGGCAACACAGTGGGTGAGGGGGAGGAAACATGATTCTTCCTGATCCCATGGCGACCCTGAATTATTGGCAACTGTCTGCCTCTCATAGACATTGCCACCCATGACGATGACCATGCACTCAGCAGAGCCCTGACAGGGGGCCTTTTGTTGTTCCAGGTTGGTCATGTTTGGGGAAAGGATTTGGAGGAACAGGCAGATCCCAGGGCCGGTCAACTAGCATGTCTAGCCTCTACCTACTCTGCCTCCTTCCAACTCACAGTCAAGCAACAGTCTTTGAGGGGTGATGTGGCCACAGTCAGCTCAAGGTGGGGTGTGTGTAAAGAGGGGAGGGCCTGGGTGTGGCCTGGGGTGGGGAGCGGGGGGTTGCAGACTGTGAACTGGAGAGCTGGTGCCCTGCAGGATGCTGCTCACTTGCAGTCCACTGTGTTTTGCAGGTTAACAGAAACCTGCCCAAGCTGCTATCAGTCTCCAAATGGGAAACGTCCTGCAATGCTCCTGGGTTGTCTTGTGGGCCTATAAGGCAGAAATACAGCCGGGCCTCAGGAACCATCTGGTTGAGTTTCTAATAAGACTGTTTCTTATTTTTCTATGTAATTTGTTTTACTTTCTGGCTTCTTTCTTTGCCCTCCTTACTTCCTTCCTCCCTCCCTTCGTTCCTTCCTTCCTTGAGAGTACGCAAGTGGGGTGGGGGACAGAGGGAGAGAATCTTTTATTTTTTTTATTTTTTTTTTATTTTTCAGAGGGAGAGAATCTTAAGCAGACTTCCCACTGAGTGCAGAGCCAGACAAGGGACTGGATCTCATGACCCTGAGATCATGACCTGAGCCAAAATTAAGAGTCGGAAGCTCAACTGACTGAGCCACCCAGGCGCCACAGCTTTCTGGCTACTTTCAAGATGTTCTCTGATCTTTGGTTTCAACAGTTTGACTGTGATATGCTTAGTTATGTTTTTCTTCCCATTTATCCTGTTTGGGGTTCTCTGAGCTTCTTGGACCTGTGGTCTGTTGTCTTTCGTTAATTTGGGAGATTCTGAGTGATCATCTCTTCAAATATTTCTTCTGCCCCATTCTGTCTCCCCTCTTCTTCTGGGACTTCCATTACATGTGTTCGACCAGTTGTCACTTTCCCATACGTCTTGGTGCTTAGTTTTGGGTTTGCTCAATTGTTAGTTTGCTTTTACTTTTTGTGATACAGTTTGGTTCATTTTTGTTGATCTAACATCAAGTTCACAGATTTTTTCCCTCTGCTTTTGTCCAGTTTGATAAACCTGTTGAAGGAATTCTTCATCACTGACATTAAGGTTTTCATTTCTAGCATTTCCATTTTTCCATTTCTTTTTTATAATTTCCTACTCTGCTCAAATTCCCCGTCTGTTATGTATGTTGTCCACCTTTTCCACTAGACTATTTATAGTAAATATACCTATTTCAAAGTCCCCAATTGATAGTTACATGTCAGCCATGCTTTTTATTTATTTTTTAATTTTTTTAGAAGATAACTCCTCCAATCATGGAGTCACACTCATCCTTTTTCTGACTTTCCAAGTTGGCCTCCCCAGTACATGGAAGACAAGACCAGGCATGGCTTTCCTCTCTCTGGCTCTTTGGCTGGGTTGTCTTCAAAAAGGTTTTTGTCCTTTCCACTTTACCAATACCTCCTTGCAGGTCACACTTAGGACTTAAAGCAGACCCTTTCCTCATGTCCCCTTCTCCACATTAGTGTTGGTTCATCATCTTGGAGGCCCCCGAGGCCACGGGCCATGCAAGCAGAGCTATGGCCAACCCCCAAATCTGCCTTGAAGAAATATGCCAAAAAGTATTCCTTCCCATGCCTTGGGCTTCCTGGAGTTTTTTGGGGGGTGGAGGCGATATCTCATTAGACCAAGTACATCAAGTTTGCTGCTGAAAAAAAAAAAGGAAGCTTATGTATAATATAAAAAATCTAATAACTAGAAATACACCATATATATCACATATCATCATAGAGAGACAGAGGGAGAAATGTCCCTCCTTGGTGTCCAAACCTCTTGGCTTCCCAGGTGGGACAATCCACAGCTTCTTTGCCTTCAAGGAGATGGAACTGTCAACAAAGCAGAAGGATCTGTCAGACACTCAGCTCGCTTGCCAGGGAGCTTGCTAGAGGATGTCCAGAAAGTCAAAGTCTGCCATCACCAGAGCGGATGTAGTCACTAGGCACCTTAAGCACAGTGCCAAGGGCCCATAAAAATGTATGAAACCCTTTAAATGTCATTGGCTCCAAAATACAAACATGTAAAAATAATAATATGCAATTGTTGACAAAACGTAATACTGTCAGTTTCATTACCCTGTCAAATTTGGTATTAAAATATTCTCGTTCCACTTACAAAACTTGTTAGATTTCATCCCTATGCATGAAGATCGTTGAGAAGTCACAGCCAATGACATGTTAAAAAAACTCAGAGCCGGTTATTTCCAAAGCAAAGTTATATAAATCCTTCCAGATTATGTAAAGCGGTACATTCAGTGTGAGGACATTTTATTACGTGGGATACAATTGGGGTGAGGCCTCCCAAGAAAGAATAAGCCCGGCACCTGAAAGGCCAGGAGCGGCATGGCGGCCACAGCTGTTCTGTGTAAGACCTGTGTCAGGAATGCCCCTCACCTTCCTCCCCAGCCAGGCATCCTTGCCGTATGCTAAGCCGTTGCTCAGAAGTCATTTTCTACTCTGACATCATCCAAAGGCCAGCTGTTCACGTCCCATATCCTCCTCTTCCTTCCAGAGTCTCGACCTTGAGTAGAAGCCAGGATGGGGACCATTCCTGATAAGCAGGATCACTGGATTTCGGGCTTTCTGAGGTCAGGGTCATTTCCTGACCAACGTCCCTAGGCCAGGTGTGGCTGGGCCAGTGGAGAAAAGGGGGAGGGGCAAGGCCAAGTGCAAGATGGGCAGATGGCTGTGTGCCAGGGAGAGTGGGGTAGGTGGCGGTGCTCGTTAGCTGAATGAACTCACGGAAGTAGCATTGTCCCTGGATCGAAGACAATTGCCAGAGATGGCCTCCTTGGCCCACACCATCTAGATTTAGAACCTCTGTGTCTCCATTTCTTCCACCTGTGTCCTCACTCCTCAGAGCCCTACACGCCTCTGTCTCCCACCCCGTGACACTTGGCCTTGCCTGG